GATGTGCAGAATGACAGCAGCATGTTATTTAACTGACTAAGGTTTCTATCATTACATTTGATTTTATTTGTTCCTGCTCCCGGTGGTTGGAACATTTATTCCACTCTGGATTCTTGTGAGTGTAGGCTTTGTTTACTTTATAATAATAATAAATAAATAAATAAATAAACAAACAGTTTTGAAAACTTTGGTTTTCACTCTTTTCCTGCTTTGTGTGTCAACTTTCACGGTTGCTAAGCAACAGAGCATACGGCGGTAAAACCTGCTAAAGGGTGGACCTGTTCGGATTCACAGCCCAAACTCTTCCGGTCTCCTTATTTTCAAGGACTTCAAAGGATCCAGTCTAGGTAGACCGCGTCCTTGGAGGATGCAGCCCAGGATTTCAAACAGAGCCTTAGACTTGTTTGTAAACAATATTTGAGGGATATTGTTATATTATGTATGTGGAAAAAGTTTATCTCATAAAAAATGGGAGCAAAACCACAAGTGATGCGTTTATACTTTTGTTAAGTGTATGTGACACACCCCCGTCTGTTTATTATTATTCAATCATATTTATTACTCTGCAGACACCACCTCTTGCAAAGCACATCCACACTTTTTACATTTTTATGTGCTTAAACAGATATACATAATGTATAATTGAACTTTATTGATTTCACACTGGAGAAATTTACCTCTGCATTTAACCCACAGGTGTCAAACTGGTTCCAGAAAGTGACGTGTGGCTGCAGGTTTTCTTTCCAAGCAATTGCACACCAGACTCCAGTCATCTCATCAAGTGAGTCCAATCTGAACATGATGATTTGAAGAGATGACTGGAGTCTGGTGTGCTATTGCTTGGTTGGAAAGAAAACCTGCAGCCACACGTCACTTTCTGGAACCAGTTTGACACCCCTGAAACCCATCCCCTTGGGGAGCAGTGGGCTACCACTGTGTGGCACCAGAGGAGCAATCAGGGGCAGACCAACACCTCCCCATAAAATATATAAATATATATATAATCTTTTAATTTTCCATTTATGGTTATATTTTTTATATATATACATTTTTTTTTAATGTTTTAACCCTTTCTGTTGATCTCGAAGGCTCAGCATGAGTATTCCAGTGTGTCTGCCCTGTTGTCCGTTACAAGAGGCTAACAAAAATCTTGAGTGGCTTGGGGTCTCATCAGCATTTGTTTGCTTTGTAAAAGAGCTCACATTGCAAAAACGATCTAGTAATAAGTAAAAATGTCTTAAATTAAGTGTATTTACCCTAAATTTGAGTAGGTAGATAAGATGATTTGCCAATGAAATTAGTATCTTTACTCTTAAAATAAGATAATCAGATAATATGCACTTGAAATAAGACAATGCAATTGTGTTTCTTATTTTAAATATAAATTGTCTTGTTCTATTGGCAAAGTGTCTCACTTACCTCCTCAATTCAAGAAAAGATGCACTTATTTTAACAAAAATACTTTTTTACAGTGCAAGCTCAATCAGATCAGACCAAAAGCATCTGAGAACATCAGTTATTAACTGTTTCAACGCTGCTGCAGTTGTATTTAGGTCGGAACCTTGACCAAGTCCTTCTAACAGGAATATATATATTCTTGTAAACCATTGTAGCTCTGGCGGTATGTTTGGGCTCATTGTTGGACTGGAAAGCCTGAATTATTCATTTTCTCCGCTCACAGACCATCCCACCTGAGCTGTGGCTCTCTGTAGCTCCTCTAGTGTGACCATTAGCCCTTTTAGCGGCTCTGATCACTGTTTTTTTTTAACAAACTGAGCTGTGCTGAGCTGTTTTTATACTTAAACTGAATTCCAGATAGCTGTGTTTACATACTGGGTGTTATACTGCTGTTGGTTTAGTGGTACTTTAGTAAAAGTGGCAAAATCAGGCAATGAAGCAGGGATATGCAAGTTAAACAGTTCATCTAAGGTGAGCCAAACTGAAACTATGAGTTCCTCTTAAAACAATACCATAGCTCTAAACAAACAGTCTGCATGAAACAAAAAAAAAAAGAACTTTTCATTCAGGACTGTTGGGCAATAAGTTTGTTCTGCTGCTTTGAGGCGGCAGACGGACAATTAATCAAGCTTTGCGCTAATAAAACAAATCAAACCAAAATGTTTGGCCTTCAAAACCGTCTGATTTTTACAGCAGCCGGAACATGTGAGAACAGGACAACCATGAATCACTTAAATGAAGGCTTAAGTCAGATTGTCAGAGTTTACATGAGCGAAAGACCTTAATGATATCCACAGCCGCCATGATTACTCTCCCGTCACTACTTGCCCGTTACTTTAATCAGGAAACAGAACAGAATATCTTTTGGTTCGTTTTCAGTGAATCTGTGCCTCGCCTCATACCCCACCTGGCCTTGCGCTTGCGAATCCTGCGCTCCATCTCAGCCTCCTCGTAGTAATACTCGTTGTGGGAGTTGTCCCTTCTCCTGGCAGCCGCTGCGATCATGGCCCGCGATTGGCCCGTTGAGTTATTGGTAGGGTTTTCTGCAAGACGACACATGCAGAGGGAGGATTTAGAGGTTTGCACGACAGGTTTTCATCTGCTGTTCATACAAAAGGGGAATAACGTCCTCTGTGCAGGAACCACCCCTACAATGAGGTGCAAGCTACCTCAGAGGGATACTGATAGTGTGTCATCACACTCACCATCCAGGGAGTAAACCTTGAACCCGGTCATCTTCTTCGACAGGATGGACTTGGGAAGGTTGACCACGGCAGGGTTGTAGACGGAGAAGTCGCTGTAATACCGGTCCAACACCCAGGCGGCGGCTCGCTGGATGCTGTTAACAAATCATCAGGACAGAGCTGGTCAAACACCCCATAATGGACTCTAAATATTTATATAAGCATTCTTTTTTTTAAACTGTACATGCACATCCTTTGATGAAATAAAAAAATGTTAATTACAGCTCATTCCAAAACAGCATGAAGGTTAAACATCATTATCAGGATTAGAGAGGTGGAGGCTCCTCCTCTGGGGCAGAAAATGGTAGAAAAATAAACCAACGGAAGCTCAAAATGTTTCCTAGAAACTTCAATGCAGGAATGTCCTAAAAAATGGAAATATACTAAGACTAAACAAGCTGTTCTGAATTGCTGCAGTGGGACAAACCAACTCTAATGTCTACGTCGTGTGATTTGTTTTGATATTCGTCTGAGGTTTAGATGATAACGTCACACAGAGTCATAATTATTTCAACCTAAAACAGTATGTAAATAAACTAGAGAAGATTCAAAGATTTTGAAAAATGAACCCTAATTTTTTTTTTTTATGTTGACCCAATAAGATTAAAAAAGGCTTAAACATTAAAAACTACTGAGGGTGGAAATTACTTCATGGTCACATTTAAGAGGAACCATGGCGGTGGGGGGTGGGGGGTTGGGGGTGGAGTCTATTTCAGCCCCTGGATGTTTGGTAGGAATCCCCACCAGGGCTGAATATTAGGCCTTGTTTTATTTCCTTCTTTTCTTAATAGTAGTGGGTGAAAAATATCTAGAGTTAAATGCAACACTATGCAGATGACACCATACTTTACTCAGCTACTGAATGAGACTTGAATGAACAGTTTTTTAAAGGATGATGGCATCAGTATATAAGAAGGTGTCTGTACCTTTAAATGGACAGAAAGCAAGGAGATTTTGAAATGTAGATGTTTAGCTCTAGCCCCAGGTCCCCTCCCTGGCCTAACCGCTGGGAGCTTGGTTACAGGCTGGATATTGAATTTCCACAGATTCAGTTTCCTCTAGCTTGATCCAGGTGTGGCAGCTGACAGAGGATCCTGATCGTTTTCACCACACTGCAGCGCAAACTGACAGCTTCCTGTATGCAGGCCAATGTGCAAACCTGTTAGTCAGACCTGTGTGTGTTACTCTGATTTTTTTTTTGTTGAATACTATTTATTAAATATAATCTACCTTATCAGAAAAAGGAATTAAAGCATTTCTTATATTATTTTAAAAGGGAAAATGTGAGTCCAGCTTGAAAGTAGTTTGCTAATCTAGACGAAAGTATATTTTTATTTCAAAATATTTACTTTGAGATAATCTATGATAGTGCTGGTATATCTTCCTTAGAGGGAGATCTATTTAAAGAGGGTATTTTGCATGAAAAGAGGGCCTCTTAATGTATCTGTCAGGAAAAAAACCGATTCGATTTATTAAGACTAACTTGGTAGGAGACAAACATAAATATTAGAGACCAGAATTGTGTCAATTACAACATTAAAACAGGATTAAAAGGCTATCAACAATGAAATTCTAAATGAAAGTTTATGCCATGTTTTTATTTCTTACCACAATGTCGATTTGCAAAAATGTAAAATAAAACACTCAAAAAAAACAGGAAACATGCAAGCAATGCAAAAAAATACAAAATAAACAACAGTTGGACAGTTGTGCGTTCACATCAATATAAATAAAAGGCACATTGAGAATATTTTAAATAATATGGTAACAAATCCAGAGGTGGGTCATAAATAGTTAAATCTACTCAGTTACTTTTACTTGTAAAAAAGATCTTAAGGAGTAGTTTTATTGTATCATACTCCATACTTTTACTTGAGTAAAATATTTGTGAATTATTGCTACTCCTGTTTGATTACAACTTCTGCCTCTTCAGTCCAGTGTGAGTTAGCTGAG